TGTTCCTCATTATTGCAAGATGGCAGACCCCCTGCTCAGTTAATTCAGCAAAGATATAGGATGATTTTTTAATTTTTTTTTTTCTTTTAGCAGTAGAAAAATTGTAGCCTGGGGGAATGTTGCTTTGACAGATTGGGGTTATATGGCTGAGGCTGACCTATGCAGCTTCCTTCCCCTTCCCCCTCCTGGCAGGCAGATGAAGCATTTATGATTGCAAGTGGCTACCTCTATTTTGTTCTTTACCTGATGGAAGGCCACCACAATAATCAAAAAGGACTTGTTACATATTTTGCTTTTCCTGGGAGGAATGCTTGAAAGCTCAGTAAAGAACCTGTAAAAAATTTGAAATAAAAAAAATTGGCCATGTGGAAGGAAGCATTTAAGCACAGGAAAGAACAGGGGATTGCACAGTCAAATAAGCAGTTCTTGGCAGAATTTAGAGACCAGCAGCAGTAAGAAGGATGCATTGGCATGTAAAAAAGAGTGGAAATTAACTGAAGAGAAATGGTAACATCATATTTAGAATCTGTCACTTTATCAGAATTATCTTGACTGGTTATTAGCAAAAGAGAAGGAATTGAGTTTTTTAGAGGAAGAAGGGTTTCATTTCCCCTTCATTAGCTGAGGAACCTGCTGACAGGAATTAAGACAGAATATTGCTAACTGGCAGCTTCAGCCATGCAAGAAAGGGTTATTTTTAACCCTGAGCTGCTCAGTGACTGCATTTGCAGCATGGCCCTCCTTAAAAACAACGAAAACTCTGCTGGCAAAACTAAGGCTGCTTTGTGCTGCTGTGTGAGAATGGGAAGGAGAGGTCTGGGTGGGAATCCTGTGGGGCAGTGGTGCCTCTGATGTTCGTGTCATGAAAATATGCCTCCAGTTCACCATTGTCCTCTGACCTCAATCCAGGCTGAAACAGGGGCTTTGCATAATCGTGCAAGGAGACAGCTCCTGCTCCAAAAGATGTTATGTTTTGAATTTCCAAAACAGACAAAGGAGACATTGTCAGCCCTTCACACATGGGAAACAGAGGCAGGGAGAGAGAGATTTGTCTGGGGCAAACGGGCTAATTTTGACAGAATGGGCACTTAAAGTGAAGTTTCCTGAATTCATTTGTGTATTATGACCACAAGGTTGGCCTTCCTTTCTAATGCTGGATTTTGTTCTTCCTGAAACTTCAGTTCAGGCACAGGCTTGATCAAAAGCATTCTTTTGTTCTGTTTAATAAATATGCCAGGGATTCTTTCTTTGGGCACTGTGCAGCTTGCATGCAGGTCTGAGGTGAGCTCTGCAAATGCCTCAGAGGTGAATTTTTAGGTGGATTTCCATGTTGGGACTGCCAGGAGCAGCAATGCAAGGAAAGGCAGAGGTGTGACTTTGTCTTCTGCTTGTCCTTGTGCCCCTGGGGATCACAGCCCCGTGGGTGTGCAGAAGGGGAGCCTCCAAGAGCAGTAATGCTGTTCTGCTCAGCTTCATGTGGGAGGAAAAATCTTACTAACTCCAGTGTCCATTTGTCTTGCTCAAGCTCATTAAGTCCAGAAAGGCCAGTGAGATATGACACTGCATGACCAAACTGGGGCTTTTTTATGAGGCACTATTGAGTGGAACCATCTGGGCTAGGAGAAGAACACACTTCTGAAATGAGCCTTTAGGAATACTAAAGTTAAGTGGCTGTCTGGGACACCATGCTGAATGAAGGGCACTCACAGCTGCATGGGTTTTATGGGTTTATTTTATCTCTGATGACAAAAAAAAGGTACTAGTCATGTGGTTCCTCATGAATTTCAAGCCACTGTTAAAAAGGGGCATTGCCTGTGTTCTCAGCCATGCTGGAACAGAGTTCCCCCAGCTTGCTGACTGCTCATGGACAATGATTTACAGTTACCTAATTTTTCCCTAAACTTAAAGGCAATCCCAAGTTATACTTCAAGAACAGAAACTTCAGTAGGTTCCTTGAGTGAACACTTGGACAGTCATCCCTGCAATACCCAAGTGGCTCACCCCTGTGGCTCCTGAGGTCTCAGTCCCTTGGGAGGTGTACTGCTCACCTGCCTGAGGGCTGAGGGAATCTGCTCCTCAGAAACCAACACCTTTCTAGAAAGCTAAACACAAATTTGGGAGCATGACTTTCACTATGTCAATTGTGCATCTCAACTTAGGCTGTTAAAACTGTTCTTTTGTTTTAAAGTCTCTGCTTAGTTTTGTTTGTTAGGGTTGTTGTTTGGTTGGTTTGGGTTTTTTTTATTTTGTTATGGATTTTTTGTTCTTGGGGTTTGGCTTTTTTGTTTGTTTGTTTGTTTGTTTGTTTGTTTGGGGTTTTGGCATTTTTTAAAATTTTATTTTATTTTATTTATGCCCCATTGGGGCAGCTTCCTTAAGTACTTCCAGGGGCCTGGTTCCGGTTTCAAAGATAAATCTGATTTCTGTGTTAGGAGGTGAACTCTTTCCTTCAAGCACTTTTCTATATGACAGACCTGGAAAAGGGCAAATTGAATTCAGTAGAATTTCTAAAATTGTAACCTATTTCCTGTGTTTTTTATTCATTGAGATGAATCTTTGAGAAAGATCACTCATGGTAAAATATTTATCAGGGTATTACATCAACTAAGGTAATGTAATAGCTCTTATAGTGCAGGTGTGAAGAAAGAAGTTCTTGTTCCTTAAACTTTCTCCAATCCATGTCCTGTTCAATGTCTCTGTTTCAGTGGACTCCAGAAACTTTGCATGATATTTATTAATCTGATTTACTAACAGTCTCCTAAACTTTAAGCAGAGACACAGAGAGAAGATAAGCTGGACTCAGCCTTGCAGATTCATGCCAACTCTGCCACTTCTATTTGACTTTATGCACATCATTTAATATTTGTGGTTCCCCTGTCTGCCAAATGCAGATACCAATTATTTTTTTTTTCCCTATCCATACTTGTATAGGTGGCATGTTTGGACAGGAATCAGCTCCTCCTTTGTCTGTGGTTAGCTCATGCACAAAAGAGTCCCTAATCTTAGGGATCAGGGAGAAGCAACCTTCTAGTTGCTTCTGTAGCCACAAAATAATAAATGGCTTCGACCTGCTCAGTGAAAAATGCAACCTTTGGATTACATCAGTGAAAATAAAAATCCACTGCAGTTCACAAGTCAAAAACTGCTGATAGTGTTTAGCACCACTGTCTGGCATTGAACATCTGGCATTCATCACTGCTTTCCTTTTCTTTCCACCGCTGTATTTTATCCCATCTATTGGAGGTTTCTTAGCTCAGTCTGTGTAAATTATGCCTGCCTCTCAGTCAGGGTAGTGGAATCACTAAAGGCTGCAAGGTAAAGGAAGGAAAAAGAGATAGGCTTTTTTTAGTCTTTAAAAGAAAATGTCTGCTCCCCTTTTTCTCCCTGTCCCTGTACACAGACAGTACTGGACAGTGTTACTAGACAGTGAGATACTCCTGCTAGTGAAGAGAGATGGAATAATTTCCAAAAATAACAAATGTCTGTACCAGCCCTAGTAATGAGGGCAGAAAGCAGGAGAGGAATTGGAGCTGGAGTGGACATCCGCTGCCATTGTTGGAAAGACCAAAATTGAAGGGCTTTGGAACAGCCCTTCAGCAAGTTTATAATGAATTAGGAAAGCAAACATTACTTTATATGAGACTTCCTGGGCAGTGGCTTTGATGTATTATTTTAAAACTAAATTGCTCTTATTGCAGGAATTTAAGTTATTAATAGGAAGAATAATACTGAAAGTGCTAGGAAAACACGAGTCTGTTAAAATTGGATCAGACAGAATACTTTCATGTTTTTTTCCTCAAAAAACTGTTCACTGCCATCTCAGTGGCCATTCCATTCGGTGTCCCTGGACGGTGCTGGCCAGGCAGTGAGCCCTAGCAGCATTCTGAAGATGCTTTTCTGATGGGACATGAATCCTCCACCACCCTTGTGTGAAACATTCCCAGCTGCATGTGTGTGTTGCCTGCCAAAGCCAGATGCTTCCATGTGTGCTCAGTGTCACAGCCCCATGCCCTGCAAGCACATGCCAGCTTTAGGAACTAGAGAAGGTATTTCCTCCTCCTGGAAACACAAAGACACCTCAGTCCCATGCTGCTGGCAGTTAGGGAAGAAAAGCCCTTTTCCCTCTGTGTGGAGAGGGCTGTTGCACACTGCCATCTCTGTCAATCCCAGAACTTCATGGGCTGAAGCCAGAGGGTCTCTGTAAGAGACAGCTGTCATGTTTTCAGTTCTGGGGACAGCTTGTATTGTTGAGGGCTTCATTGTACTTAGAGCAGCAAGAACGCCCCGTGTCATTATGTGTGTTCTTCCTGACTGTCTTCTATTTAGTCTCGTGTCAAAAGTGTGTCTGAAGTTTGTTTGATTTAATACCAGGTTGACTGAAATAGGAATAAATTATTGCTGGTTGTCAGCTCAGCCTTCTCTTTCTGCAAAGCATATTGTATACCTGATTTCCCATTGTTCTTCATTTCTGTTCCTGTGGTTTTATCCTGCTACTCACTGCAGACTCCCAGATTTCAGCTCGGCAGCCAAATCAATCCAGCAGTGGGTGTCCTGGTCAGCATCTGCATGGAGTGGAGGTGACAGGCCCAGCTCACAAACAGAGCTGGGCTGTCCTTCAGAGCAGGTCCTGGCTGGCACAGAGGCACTCAGCGCTTGGTGGGAAAGGCCAGGCAGTGCCAGGAGCCACAGTTGCTTTCTGAAGTCAATGAACAGGTTCAGTCCTGGTGATTTGTTCTGATTTTATAGTCCATTGCTGGGAATGGACATCCTGGTGAAAGTGCTACTACTTGGCAAGGCTAAAATGGGAAACACGGGTCTAATGTTGCACAAATGGCTTTGCATGAGATATTGCAAGAAAAAGCTACGCGCAGGTACAGTGGGATGGATGCTGTGATGTTGATTTACTCTCAGTTTTTTGCTGTCTGCTCTAGCTCTCTGCCTGCCAAGCATCTGTCCCATTGCTAGCAGAATATTTATTCTGTTTTCTCTTCTTCTTGTAGAAAATTTTACTACATCACGCTGCTGAGAGACCCCGTGTCTCGTTACCTCAGCGAATGGCGTCACGTCCAGCGAGGAGCTACTTGGAAAACATCCTTGCACATGTGTGATGGCAGGACACCAACTCCTGAGGAGCTGCCCTCGTGCTACGAGGGCACGGACTGGTCGGGCTGCACGCTGCAGGAGTTCATGGATTGCCCGTACAACTTGGCCAACAACCGCCAAGTGAGGATGTTGGCTGACTTGAGCCTGGTGGGCTGCTACAACATGTCCTTCATCCCAGAGAACAAGCGAGCGCAGATCCTGCTGGAGAGCGCCAAAAAAAACCTCAGAGACATGGCCTTCTTCGGCCTGACAGAGTTCCAGAGAAAGACTCAGTACCTGTTTGAGAGAACTTTTAACCTGAAGTTCATCCGGCCCTTCATGCAGTACAACAGCACGCGGGCGGGCGGGGTGGAGGTGGACAACGACACCATCCGCAGGATCGAGGAGCTCAATGACTTGGACATGCAGCTCTATGACTATGCAAAGGACCTCTTCCAGCAGCGCTACCAGTACAAGCGGCAGCTGGAGAGGATGGAGCAGAGGATAAAGAACCGGGAGGAGCGGCTCCTCCACCGGTCCAACGAAGCCCTTCCCAAGGAAGAGACCGAAGAGCAAGGACGTTTGCCCACCGAGGACTACATGAGCCATATTATAGAGAAGTGGTAGCCTAGGCAGACTTTTATATTAATGATATTCTAGGGTTTCCATATAAGAGATCGTGGAAGTAAAAATTACAAAAAAAAAAAAAAAAAAAAACCTGACAAAAAATATTTTATTTAAAAACAAGTCTGTAAAACAGAAGATAGATTGCTTCCTTAAGCGTAGGGTCTTTTTACTGTTTCTTACAAGACCGATGAGATTCTTAAAAAAAAACAATAAATACATAAAAATAAAAAAAGGGTCAACATTCTAATGCAGAGATAAAAAATGCACAAATGCAGTTACCCATGCATGAGGCCAAATACAGAATGTTTCTTATCCTCATGATTTTAACACAAATGGCAGAAGTAGGATTTTTAAAAATCTGTTTATCCCCTGAGCCTAATGATCTAAAGATACATAATTTAAAAACAAGGAAACAGAGGTTTTCTTTTGTGGGAGAGGTGGGATGGGAATTGCAGTGTTTGTTAGTAACTGATAATGGTGACTAAGTTGAGGATGGGCCGTCCTGTCAGGCTGGGATCTGAGCACACAGGCAGTCACAGCATTTCAGCTGGCAGCCACTGCCAGAAAGTAGAGCACCAGGAAAAAAAAAAAAAAAAAAAGAAGAAAACCAGTCAGAGGATGAGAAACATTAAAGCAAATTGACTATGGCCTGGGAAATGTACTTAGCACAGTGGTTCTGATTCATTGCACTGGTATCACATATACATATGCAGCTCCATCACAAAAATAATAAGGAATTCATACACAAAACACCCAGGTTTGTTTCCCAGCCAGGTCCCAAAACAAGTTAAAAGCCAAGCATAGACTCAAACCTGCATTCACATGTTGTCCTGTCAGCTTACACCACTACTATTCAACCACTATCAGTATTGTGTGTTGACAGCACACGAAAACCATATCCTCCATTCTACCAAAAAAAAAAAAAAAAAAAAAAAAAAAGGAAGAAAAATTTAACTACTCCTTCATAAATCGGCACAAAATTCAGACCCTGCAATGGTTAGGTCACTAATGAGAATGTGACAAGGGGGTAATTTTGTTTTGTTTGTTGCTATGTGAAATACTGACCCAGAATAAGCATACAGACCTTCCCGAGCTGTATTATTTCAGTTATTTTTACTTGCTTTTATCAAGATGTAATGGGCATCAGCCTGTTTCCAGTGAGGTCACTAGAACTGATACAAGTGGGAACAGGATGGGGCTCTCTTCCAGAGCTGTGAAAATTTCTGACTGTGGGTCTGAATTAATTATGAGGCAGTGCACATTGTCTTTTGGCAGGGTGCCTGTTCTGCAGCCCTTACTTTAAATGAACAAGCTGTGTTCATAAAACTGGAAAGGGGGATCATGGATAGTGTTTTTTTAGTCTCAGACCACTCTCAAAGCAGAACTCTTTCAATGCTGTTTTTTAGGGCCTCATGTAAGTTTAATCCTGCAGTGTGGGGACAGTCTAACCAGGTTCTGCTTACTGACTTTTGAGTCATAGAACAACAATGACTTCTCTAATTCCTCTTTCCACTCACCAAATTAAAATATGGCTTACTTTTTTGCTGTTGCAAGCACTTCTTTGTTTGGCTGGAAGCATGGAAATGAGGCAGTTTTTGCCTGGTTCATGTCTCACTCTGTTATTTCTCAGCCTGTAAGACCTGAACCAGCTATTGTTTAGGGTAAACTCTGAACCCAATGGAATATGATTTTGATTTTCAAAGGCCACGTTAACTGCAAATCAAATATGCCATTGTAATCACTGGAGGAGAGGCAGAGAGCTGATGCACTCAACTTTAGCATGTTGTTTTTACAGCATCCCTTTCCCATCACACAAATCCACTGATGTGCTGCTTGGGTTGGATTTTAATTCTTTCTCTGCCTCTGTGTGCTGTTTCCAGCAGTTTCAAGTTCAGACTGAGTTTTGCAAAGATGGGGATTCTGGGGGGGATACACCTTGCTTTGGGAGACATTTTTCTCCTGAAGAGTGAAGGCGGCTAAAAACTTGAGAAGAGAAAACAAAAAGAGCACTTAAGGCTCAAACACATTCTGGTACAGCCCTGAGCCAAAGTCCCCCAGAGTCAGAGGATGTGTTTCCTGTTGATGTCAGGTGGATTTTGGTCAGGTCTGATCCTGCTGCTGCCAAGCACACACTCACCTGTCTGCAGGCACAGCAGGACACTCTCACCACACATTTGTGGTACCAGTATGTGCTGGTGCTGTCCATGGCTTCTGTGCCAGTGCTTCTGCCACAGAATGGCTCCTGTTCCCAGGAATGTGTAGCATGGCCATAGGCATTTCCTCCTGGGTGAAAACTGGGAAGCAAAATGAAGCAGTATTTGGTGGTTGGCTTGGGGGAAGAGAAGGTATTACAAGTCCATTTGTCCATCTCTGAATTCCAAGACTGGGAGAAGCTGTGCTTGCTGGTTGCCAGCACTTTTGCAGTTTGCTGTAACTACAGAAAACATTTGTACTTTGAAAATGCAACTTTGCAGGCTGTTAACCCACAAAACCAGCACGAGATATGAAAAGCAATTGTTCCACATGCAGTTTCCACCTTTCCCCAAAAGCTTTTCAGGGTGTGTCCTGTATCATGGATCCATAACACACAAGGGGTTCCTGCAGCTAATCCCTGTTTGTGTCTCACTGCTGGGACTGTGGGATTCAGACCAGTGTTGTGATTAGGCTGTGTCTGCCTGAGCTGTTCCTGTGTTACAGGCTCTGAGTAACCAGCTGGATGTTAATGAGTCTGTCTGCAGGGTTGTCTAAATCAGAAGCAGCCTCTGCCCTTAGAAGCATGTCAGTAGAAGACCTTGCTCCAACATTTTCTTTGTAATGGATTGCAGTAACAAACAAAAGAAATGAAATTTTATTGAAAACTGTCTTTATTAACAGTTTCATTTCAACCACAAAAGGAAGGCTGACCTCAGTACTGAGGCAGAAGTGTATAGATTTAAATTCTGCACCCATGCAAATGCCTCAGTTTCTCCACCTCTACACTGGGAGTAACGAATTCACAGACTCTAAAAGGGTACTCCAAGGTATGAAAAGTATAGGGCACATTTAAACAGATTCTGAGTAATAGAAATGAACAGAATCACCCCAAAGCCATTCCTCACCCTGGCTCCTGTGCTGCTCTGCTTCTGGCTGTTAATTTATTTTAAGTGCTGTGCACCAGAACGTGGGTTGCAGAACATACCTGGCACTGTATTCTTCCTTCAGTGGGTGCAAAGGAACTTTTTTAACATAATGTGAATGTAGTTTTTTGTGATTTATATGTACCACACTTTGAAGTGGTACTGTTCTGTTCTTTTTAGGACTGATATTTTGATGCTACAATAACATGAAAAGTGTGTGTGTAGTTTTAAAGTGAATGGAGAACAACAGCTTTAAGGCACTCTGGCAGTAGTGGCCAGATAGTAGATTCTTGTTCAGTATCTGCCCCTTTCTTCCAAAATGTTTTTCCTGTGACTTCCAGACACACCAAGAGTTTCTTCAGTACCTGAAGTGGTTTTTTTCAGGGGGTCTGTCAGTCTGTCAGTGCATCATGATCCAGGTCAGGTTAGGAAAGTGCTGGAGCAGTGCAGGCAGGTGCGAGATTGGACTTCTCTCTTAGGGACTTTGTGGCTTCTTAGGGCTAAGAAGTCAATTTGCTTTTAGTCACCTAAACAGTGTAAACATCACTGCTTTGGTGGGTGTTCTTGCTGAAGAAAACATTTTACTGCTGGTTTGTCTCATCCTAGTTAACTTTGTTGAAGGAGTTTGCCTCATCCAAAGTTTTCCAGACAGTCAGGTGCCACCTTGTACCCTATCCAGGTCACAAAATGCAGGATTGACTGGTGAGGTTGCCAGCCCAGGCTGTCACAGGGTTCAAAGTCATAAACAAAAACAAAACAAAAACAAAACAAAACAAAACAAAACAAGTCAGCAAAAGATCAGTGTGACTCTCTGGCTTGTCCGGTTTTCTCCCTTTATGCCCAACATTTTGGAATAAATGAGGAGCACTTCAGTTGATGTTTTTGCACCCCACAGTCCCTTCCTTGCTTACAAAACTGGGATGACAATTGAAGCAGCATAAGAAAGATACCAATAAGGTTTTGAATCCTCTCTCCCAGGGCTTCCTGTTAGAGCAGAAAAGAGCAGTACAGTTGCTGAGAGTGTGACCAAGGCAGGAGGACTCCCCAGTGGCCACACAATTAGGAGATTGTCCCTCTGAGCCAGTCAAGTCACTTCACAGGGAGCAGTGGACAGCTCCAGAAGGTGATGATAGCATCACAGCACAGAGCCTGGCCGAGGTTCATAGCTTGGGGTCAAAGCATCTCTAGTGTCTCACTGGTGTTCAGAGTTCCCCAGACCCCCTCCTATCCCACAGGCTTCTCCAGTCAGCACAAAAAGGGATAGCACTACAGGAATTCATCACCCAGCCTGTGCTTAATGCTGTATTCCCTGAGCCAGAGCTTGGCATGCAGCTGACACTGGCTGCTGGACTCAAATCACAGGGCTGGCTGTGTTCTCTTTTGATTCTTCTTTTCACTTCCACTAACACTAGCAGATCATGTTGCAGAGGCAGAGGTGAGTGTGGCATTCCCTGCCTGATCTGGAGCCTTCCAAGCCTTTGCAACACAGGTCAGTGAGCTCAGGTGAGCCAGGGCACACAGTCCCAGCTACCCGTGGCTGCTTCTTTCACCCCGTGCACAAGAGCTCTGCCAAGGTGAATGCACACGGGTGTTAAAGCTCGTGTTGTGCCAGCTCTGTTATTCCTAGCCTGTAATGCAAGCTGAAAAAAAAACAGATTTGCATGAGTCTGTCTGCTCAGAGCCCCACAATTCCCCCTCCCTGTTCAGTTCCCCCACATGTCAGTTCTAGAGACTGGATTGAGAGAGTTGTACTATAATGAATAATTTTATATTCAAAAGGTTTACTGAGCATGATTTGTTTTGTACATATTGGAATATGATTTAACTTATTTTTATTGCCCCTTTTAATCTTTTTTTTTTTTCCCATAAGGAAAAGACAAAAATCCCCATCCTCTCTCAATGTGAAGTTGCTGTGTTTTTATGTGTAGTCTGCCAGTCAAACACACAACAGGCAGAGGATTTCTCACCATCCCTACAGCTATCTCATTTTGGTTTTCACTGTCATTTGCATTCATCTGGGACTTTGCCTATATTATGTTCTTTCCTCTCTGCTGCACAGTCTGCACAGAGCAGGGAATGGGCAATGCAGGCAGGATTTCCTTTTTCTTCCTTTCCCCTTTCTTGAGTGCTTTACTTACCAAGGAACTCAGTTCCTCTAGGAGTTGTGTGACTGAGGGTAAAAAATACAACTGTCCCCACACCTGCCTTCCACCCTCCATATTGTAGATCAAACAGATTCAGCTTCTCTGAAAGTGACTGTGGCTGAACTCATCCTATTGGGCTGAATGTGTATGGTTTGCACTTTCCCCCCCACTTCAGGAACTTAAAACCAACAAAAATAAATGGCAACTGTTTTAACTTGAGCCAAGTAACACTTAAAGCTTTATATATTTATTTATAGCATCTTACAAAAAGTGTTAAAAGGTTTTTTCTTCCACAAGAAAAATAAAATTTTACAAAATCATCTAATTGTTTTTGTCTAGATCAAGGATGAATGTTAGCAGATGAAATAAACCCTAAAATTGAGTATCTGTTGTGTGTGTTGTCCTTGCATTGGCCTTTGATGCTGTTTCAGTGTAATATGTCTTGCCTGTTTATTACAGAGAGATAAAGCTGCCAGTGCAGTTGATGGATAATATTTATTTTCTGCTACAAAAACAGACTCCTGGATAAGAAATATTCAAGCAGAAACCACAATCTGTTGGTTCCTATTGTTACATTTGAGCCAACATTGCAAAAAGCCCTTAAACCTCATGGAACCTGTCATCTTTTAAAAATTACCTTTGATATTGTACAGTGTTCTTAGTTTTCTTTTTCAGAGGCACTGCGAAGAACACATTTGCAGGCAATAAATAGAGGTTGTTACACCAGATACTGTGGAATAATTAAGAGATTTTTTTGTTTGTTTGTTTCATTCTCAGAAGTACTTTGTTGTGTGAAAACATTCTGCAGTTACTGGGCTGAGCCATGTCTTGTTTTGCACAATGAAAGTGAGTTAGGGGTAAGAGGCTGATGAGAAAAGTGTTTCACAGCATCCCGAGTGAGAACAGAAGGTATTTCTGCAGGTGTAGTGAGTAACAGAGCTGTGATTTTACCAAAGCATCCTACAGCTCCCACTTGGAGGGAGGGGCTGTGCAGGTGCTGCTGGAGGACTCAGGTAAGGGATGGTGTGAGAGTGAAGCAGAGACAACTCTTTAACGAATTAAAGTTGAAAGGGGGTATATTTATTACAGCACTGGACACATGGGGAGTGACTGCCCAAAGACGTGTAAAAAAATCACAAACTCCTGCTCTCTATTTATCCAAGGTTTTACATATTCAGGTGGTTTCCAGGACTGCTTCTATGATGCCTCTTAAACAAACATTAGCTCTCACCTCATAATTAGCTGAATATCCATTACAGCTGCACAATTGTCCCCTTTAATTGGGTCAGTGGGCTTCTGGGGAGGAGGTAAGGCCTCTTCCTCATGGCAAACTCCTCACCTGTGTCAAGCTGGCAGGGCTCCTTGGCCTGCTGGTCACAGTCCAAACCTCCTCTTGTTCTTAGAACCCCGTGGTATTTATGGCTCCTGCACTCTTGCATACTTCATGTATCACCTGTCATTCTTTTCCCCACCTTCTTTCAGTTATCCACTAATTGATAGCAGGTGGTATTGATACACCTGGTATCAATTAGCTTCCTTGTTAAGCTCTAATCACAGTATAGGATCTTTGCTAACTGCATTTCCAACTTAACCCCTTGACTCAAGGAGGGCACCTGAGATCCCAAGGGGGCTCAGCTGTGAGGGGAGGGGACAAAGCCCTTGGGTCAGCCTCTGGCTGTGCTGGTGCCACTGCCCAGGAGCTCTCATGTCCTGCTGAGCTGCAGGAGGAATTTCTCTGGACCAAGCCAAGGTGCAGGCACAGCTTGCTGCGCTGGGTAGGAGCCCTGCTGTTCCTGGCTCAAGGTGCTTTTTGTCTCCTCAACCTCTCCAAAAGCCATGAGGATGCTCTGCCACAAGAAGTCTGGGCAGGTAAAATGTTTTCATTTGCACGTGGTGTTCCTACACCAGGTTCTTGCTCTCCATGCTAGGAGCCTTCAGGAAAAGGAGAGGAGGGGGGTAGGATAGCTAGCTAGTAGGTGGGAGCTTCTGCTATTGCAGAAGGGCAAAGGAGCAGAATGAATGCTGGAAGGAGAGTTAAAAGAAGCTGAGAATTTACTGAGGGAAGGACCTCCAGAGTTTTGGGATTTTTTTCTTGGTTACACTGATGACTACTCAGTTTCTTTATTCTTGTGTCCAGAATGTTTCTGATCTATCTGGTGATTTTACACTCTCCAGCACTGCCTCTGGGAGATGTGCTGCCTCAGGTTAGTTAGTGGGTCCTTGTAATGCTGAACTTCTTTGTTGTCACAGAGCAGAAAGAGGGACATAGGTCCTTGCATAGTTAAATGTGTATCTAGTGGTGACTGCATGTTTCTGTGGATTTTGCAAAAATGGTCAGATTTTAGGAGAGTCCTAGGCCTTGCAGTTTGTAACGTTGTGATGCAGTACTTCAGTGGCACTTAGAGTAGGGATGTAAATAAACTTATACACAGATAAAATAAAATTATGGGCTTTCTGCAGTTGGAAATGTTCACATTTCCAACCCAAATAGCTGATTTGGGCATAGCTCCCCTCTTTGCAGCAGGGGAAAACCAAGGCACATTCATACACAAACTTAAAAGAATATATTGTGGACTTAACAGTAAAGGAGTTGAAGTTTTACTATAGCAGTTATTTCATAAACTTCAATTAGAGGGGATGTAGTCAATGAAATATTCACTAATTGAGCAGCATTTATTAAATTATTGCTATGTATCTCTTAAAGCCATAAGAGGTTCAAGGAGGCAAAGCTGCTCTAGCAAGGCCCTGGCTACTTTAATTGATCTGGGAAGTAAGTGGCTTGGAAAAGAGACCATGCATGTTCAGATTTTGCAAGCATCTCTAAGCCTAAAATAAGTCTCTATTTGTTGGTCAGACCATGCTGTAGCACAAGCAGGAGCTTTTGTATGTGATACTGCTTGTTAGGGCTTAGAAATTCTTTGTCCAGTGTGAATTTACTAATTTCTCTCTTTTGGTGATGCTCTTCTGATAAGCTTTTTTTACTCCTGAGCACTTTCATGTCGCTGCCTTCTCTGGCCCACTGCTATTCCTGCTTCACAGAAGGTTTGTCCCCAGAGGCGGGCATGCAGTACCTCAGAAATTATTCTTGTGACCTTTGCACAAGGAGCTGCAGAACTGAGATGCTTCTTTTAATCAACATTCAGCCAACAACACAATGGAAAAGTTGAATACCTATCCTCTAGGAGCTGGGGATGGATGATGGGTAGCAGTGCTTTGCAAATGTTTAATGAACTAGGTCTTATTTATATATTTATTTTGTCCTTCCCCATTAATATATTCTATTAGATTAGAGTCCAGATGTTTGTGCAATTAATGAGTAATAGTGATAAATAATAAGCATTTAATTCAAGTGACTTTAACATACTCTGGTTATTACTGGGTTCTATTTAAAACTTTCTTGTTGACTTGAACCAAATGTTATACTCAGTTGTGCTGTAAATGGGAAAGAAATTCCACATGGCCTAATCTAGTTAATTCAGGCTGGGTACCTGATCCTGAAATTAATATGTGGTAATCACTCATCAACTTTCTGGCACAGGCAGTGACAACACATATAAATCATACAGCCTCTGTGAGATGGTAAATAACTTTCCTGTAGAGCCCCTTCTGTGGGATTGGATTATTAGTGCCAGACATTGTTTTCTGAACAAGAGCTCACAGCCAGATTGGTGAATGCTCAGATGTTTTGCATACTACAGCAGCCTCCATCAGGACTGATTTCTACTTAGCATCAGAATATTTGATATGAAGGAAAGAAAAGAACATATGATAAGTGAGAATTTATAAACTGAACTCAATTAGCCACAACTTCATGTGGGCTGTTACATTTTACTGGGTTAGTGAATGATCATTCCTTTTGTATTACTGGAAATGCTAAAGCCATGCTGCTACTGGAGTTCCTTAATGGAGGCTTTGCTGCCTGGCTGGAGAACCTGGGGCTTGGAAAACTGCTGCTGGGAGAGGTGTGCAACCTTCTGGACTCAGAGATCTGCTGCTTGCTAGGTTTTTGCTCCAGTGCCAAGTCGTGCAAATAATTAAGGGTACGTGGTGCTCTGTTTTGAGGGCAGTCTGGCCTTCTGAAGCAGCTAAAATGACCAAATTCAGCTGTTTTGGAGATGAAAATGGAGCCAGGGGTCCTGTTGGAGGAGAAACCTGATAGGAGCAGCTTAGCTGATGTTATCATGGGAGCCTTCATCACGACTCTTCTGCAGAGGTTTTCTGGTGTTTATTCTGAATTCTGCTGTTTTCTCTCCCCTGGCAGAGCTTGTCAAAGGAAAGTGCAACACTGCAGTGCTGGCCCTCATGGGCACGGCCTCGTCCTCTGTAGTTTGTGTTGCCCTTAGAGAAAACACCCATAACCTTTTGGAAGCAGTGCTCAATCTGCGGGCATACACAGGGTTTTTTGGCAGTATGTCAGTAATTTAGGGTGATTTTGGTGGCTGTGTGCCCCTGTCCTGGTGAGCGGTGTGGCTGTGCCACAGGCAGCAGAAGGCCTGAGCATGGCTGCCCTCTCTAGGGAGGGACAAGCTGGACTGACAAACCCAGGGACTGCCAGGCCAGCACACCGAGACAGGGACACGCCTCAGGGGACACAACCTCTGGCCAAGCTGAGCTTTGTGCTGTGGGTGTTTTTGGGGACAGCGGTGTCCTCCAGCAGGGCTGGCCTGCCAGCCAAGCTCTGGAGATGTGTGCATGCTGGCTGCGTTTTTATATGCACATTTAAGGACTTTCCCAAGAAAAATCAAACCATACACCCACAGGGACAGTGTGGGGAGGAACAATTACAGCAATAAATAAAGATTTCTGCTGGCATGCCAACCCAAGGCTTTTCTGTCTCCTCATCAAGTGATCTGCCATTTGTTAGCAACTGCTTGTTAGGGCTTTTCTGCTCTAGGCCTGTTCTTGCAGTTCTGTATATTTTACTCATCCTGACAAGAGAAAAGAACTCTATTAGTAGAGGCACTAGCAATTCACAGTGCCCATAACATCTGTGGCAGGACTAGAATTACAAATCGCATCAGCATATTATTTTGTTTGTTTGTTTGTTTTGCGTCTGTTAGGGAATTTCATTAACTGTCTCACATTTTTGGTTGTGGGTTATTTTTTTTCCCAACTCTCCTTGTTGAAAACCATTTGTTTCATCATCCTTCCTCATTCTTTGTAAAGGTGGCCTGCAGGTCTGGGCTGGCAGTGAAAGATTGTGAGGCAGTTTTCTCCCTGGATGGGAAGGTGGCAGGTGGAAAATCGTGTGCTCCTTCCAGCCTCTATCATTCATTTCTTAGGTAGTCCAAACAGCCTTTACTGCATTAAAAGCACTTAGGTGTGTTTCTCACCCTCCAAAATTTGTTTTTGACTTGTCTGAGGTGTTTTCTCCTCAAGCCT